CGAATGATTGACAAGCTGGGAATGACGGATCCATACTTCCCAGCTTGAGGGGGAGTGTTAAATCTCAACCTTACGATCCCAAAGATATCAATTGGCTGAGAATAGTAATCCGTGGGAAGACTACCTGGATAGCATTAATTCCTTCCATTTATGTAGGAATAATTGTATTCTCATTATTATAAGAGTTATTTGTTTCCTTATCAATACACCTTGTATAGATCTATAAATAGGGAGTAAATTGCATAATAAAATTAAAAGCTTTTCACTCTCAAATTCTCCGTTTTGACAAAAACTAAGGTACTAAATTATCTTTCTCTACTGTCACAATATTCTAGCACATAACAAGTAAAATCAATAAAACACACTTGAACAATGGATGCATTGAATTAGAGTATCTTTGCTTCTTAGCATATTAATTTAAGTTAACCATCCTGATTTTAAAAAAAAAATAGAAAAGGAAATGTTTGGAGTTTAGAAGAGCCAACGTTTGCAGTAAATTAGCTTATCAAGGCCCCCTTTAGTCCAGCTGTAGCAGCTAACCAACCTTTTTAGTTTTATTTTGACACGTCAATGAAATTTGTAACCAGATAGCACATTCTGCAAAAGATTTTGATAATAGAACCGTGATTTAGGTGACAGAATGATCTGTCATCAATCCTATAGATTTCATGCCATGATAATGTGTCCAATTGTGCAAAACTGTACAGCAAGTCAAGTGCTAACATGACATAATCAAGCACGTAACATATACCATTCCAGTTCCTTCTACTGCTTGACCAACACTTCTGTTTGCGCTAAGAAAGCAGGCATTAACAAGCAAGTAATTTTTATCACTATGAGGTGTTCTGTGATTCCTAACTAGTAACTACATTATATGTAAATTTGATTTAGGTAATGAAGAAAATGTCACTGTAATAATAGCTTATCTCCATAAACTTATACAACAAATCACTACACGATGGTTCTTTTTTTTTATAGAGGAAAGCTCTAACCACCAAAAGTGAAATTGCTCCAACTACGCAGAATCATAGCTGCAACCTTCATAAGCTAACCAACCAAGCAACTGATTTGGAAGAGTCGACACAATCACTTAAGGAAAATGAATCACCACAAGAAACTTATAAATTAAGCAAACTGAGTTACATAGCATGCAATCTACTTGGGATTTATTTGAAACGGCTGCAGCTTTAAAAAAAATGACAGAATTATTATGAGTAAAACGGTTCTTTCTGAAAATGATTGTGGATATTGATTTTGTTTTTCATTTTTTAAGTAGGACAATAGCTTTCTTTATCACTACTACTACTACCCAAAAGCAATTTTGTTTTATATTATGAATATATATTCAAGTTACCCAAAAGCAACTTCAGACGACAGAAATTTTCAAACATAAAAAAAAAGGAAATAGTAGTCAAGCAGCCCTATGTGGAAGCATTCAGAAAGTTGCCCCCACAAAGACCATTTCAATCACTTTGGAAAGGAAAAACAAAAAAAAAGAACCACCCCAAATACCACCATGTCTATGTACACATGAATCCAAAAACTTGCCTTTAGTCGATGATTCACTGCAGGGTGTATATCGATCGAGCTCTCGTCACCCTCCACACCATCAGACTCCTTCTCGTGCTCCCTCCTCAAATATTTCTCGTGATCAGAGAGAGCCACATTAAAATCGAACGCCTCGTTCCTCTCATTAAACCCTAGGCCAATGAATGCATGCTTACCCCGTCCGTCCTCGATCTTCAGAACAAAATATCGGGAGGAATCGAGCACGGTTTCGACGGAGCTCTCCCGGTGACCAGGTAGAACAAAACAGGCGGCAAAGAGCTCACCAGAGCTGGGGTCCTCAAGCCGGATCTCGCAGCGGTCACCGCAAGACACGACGCGGAGACGGCCGGACCAGATCTTATCCGATTGCAGCCACTCGCCACACTTGTACCCACCACTCGTACTACGTGGTGGGATCTTGAAAACCGACACCTCCCGCACCACGAGGAGAGTGTGCTCGAACGCCTCCTCCTCGATCGATGACATTTCCAGACTTCCGATTCCTGCAACAAACCAAGATGATCAGCCCCTTCATTGGATCGACTAATCTCAGATCAAGAAATAAAAGACAAAAATAAAATAAAATTAGAAACCGCAAGCAGCTAAGAATCAAACCAAAATAAACCTCAAGGGTGAAATTAATGGAGAAAGAGAATCGATGAGGTAGAAAAGAGACTAGGGATGGGGATGATGAAGGATCCTCCCCTCTCTCTATCTCTCTCTAACCCGCTGAGAACTGCCGATCTGGAAAAGATGCAGAACGCCGACGGGAGAAAATGAAAATAAAAAACAGTACAAAACAAAACAGCCTGCGAATCGCCGTTGAGATTCGTCTGGATTGCGATTGGTGAAATAAAGCCGTCAGATCGTTCCGGAATGCGGGTGTAGGCCGTTGATGGGTCGTTCGGGTTGAAAGGTGCTGGCCACTTTGCGCAACTGACCTTCCGCGTGGGCTTCGCGTTGAAGACTGCAACTCTGCAGAATCGGATAGTTGTTGCGGGTCAAAGCAATCGAGTGAGGACCGACAGCCGAGTGGGCCAACTTTCTTATTATATCCAAAGATATATTAATACAAAATATTGTCTACAAAATCATCTTGATGCGACGGGGCATCTACGCGCTGCTTTTTACAATGAACCTCCGGCGTTTTCCCCATCCACCATTTTTTCTCTCTGCAAAATCACCAGTCCCTCCGCGCTGAGCTTCCTTCAACGGGATCGTCTGAGACCTTCGTTCTCCTCATGGCCGAGTGATTTACCCCACTTCCGTCCACCTCTTTACTGGCCTACATCCTTAAACCCCTCCCTCCGGCCATTAATTAAATGTAAAAATTGCTAACTCTTTTTTTTTTTAAGAGATGCAAATTACAGTAAACCATTAAACCATGAAGAAAAAACTATTACAAGTTAAAAAATGAAATAAAACCAAAAAAACTTCTATTTCCTAACAAATGGAAAGAAAACACTAAAGAAAAGCAAACAACAACTCATAAAAAAGAGTGTATTGCAAAATAAAAAAAAGACAATTGAAATAAGATCAGTTTGAACATTTGGGGTGTAGGGGACACCAAACTTTTAAGACAACAAAAAAAGATTGGTTAGTATCCCAGAATTTTCAAGTAGATAAAAGGTGACAACTAGATAGAGTCTCAAATTTCATTACTCTAAAATCATAATGCAAAAACACAAAGATGATAACCAGAAAATCAAGAGTCCAAATAGTCACCTCTTCGCTACTTTTTAGTGTAGTAAATGATTCGTGTTTTATTCATATTTGCTAGATTATTTGTTTAAAGTGTTCATTAATAAGTTTTTTTGTGTCAAAACGAATTGAGGAAGCTTTGGAAGAGAGAGAAGCTCCACGAATTGAGGAAGATTTTGGAAGAGGGTTTTCGGCTTTGGAAGTGAAGAGAAGGCTGCATTCATTGTAAATGGAGAATGGTGGCCGGTCATCCTTGGATGACCGGAACACCAACTCCCTTGTTTCTACCGCGCGTCCAACTTTGTTGGATTCAAAAGGTAGTTTTACATTCAATCGCAACTTTTCGAGTTTTTTCAACTCTCCTCTAGTGATTAGAGAGGAAGGATTGATTTCTAAGAAGAAACCGTTGATGGTGAGTGGTAAAGGAAAAGAAGTTTTAAATGCTATGACAAGTAAGTCTTGTTCATCTTTGCCGGTTTTGGTTCCTAGAGCCAATGATTTGGAGGCTTCAACCTCTGGTAGCTTCAATCAAAATTTGAGTAATTCTAATGTGTGGATAAAGAAACCACACATTAAAATTAATTCATCTTTTTCTCATGAAGGAAATAAGGATGTTAAGGTTATTAAACTTGACTTGGAAAAAGAAAAATCCAATGTTCATGTTCTTAGGAATTCATTGGTAGTAAAGATCCTTTGCAAAAACTTGTCATTTCCCAGCTGTGCTTTTGAATTAAGGAGGTAGTGGGATAAATTTGGAGGATTCCATATTACTGCTCTTGGTTTAGATTGGTTCCTTTGCTCCTTTCAATCTCAGGATGCAATAGATGAAGTTCTCAATGGAGGTCCATGGTATGTGGGAGGATTTGTCATTGGATTAGACAAATGGACTCCCAATTTTTCTCCCAATTCCTTGGATGGGATTTCTTCTCCCATCTGGGTTCATCTTCCACACTTACCATTACACTTCTGGGACGAAACCAACATTTCGAGAATTGTTTCAAGTATAGGGACTCCGTTGTTATTGGATGGAAACATGTTTAGATGGGGGAGAAGGGAATTCGCCATAGCTTGTGTTCGGGTGAAATTAAATTCCAAACTCCCTACTGGTGTTTGGGTTGAAGGTATTCATGGCAAGTTCTTTCAAAAATTTGAATTTAAAAATTTATCTTCTATATGCTTCAAATGTGGAATTATTGGACATAAAGATGTTGTATGTTCAAATGGTTTTCAAAATTCTGATCTTAGTAAGAAGGAAGCTACCAAAGAACCTCTATCAATTGATGAGTGCTCTTACGGGCCCTGGATGCACGTCAAATTCAAATCCAACAGAAATTTTAAAAATGTTAAGAGGTTCTCAAGTAAACCATGGTGCAGATTTTCAGAAAGTTCGCCGGCCAGATTGTCCCCATCCGGAATCTGATTCAAATTTGGTAGAAAATACAGCTGGAATCAAGGGTAGAGATGAAGTGGTTGTTAGCATTAATTCAAATTTGTGGAGCAAACCAGATTTAGCTCATAATACAAATGCTGATTTTAATGTATCTGGTTCGTTGGATGCTGATAATACACCTAGTCCAATAGTTACTAGTCCAACGTGTATGCCTAAAATAGCTGAAGTTTTGAATTTTCAAATACCACAAGTGATGGAGGCTGTTTCGAAGGCGTGTGAGAAGGAGCTAAGTTCGGTTTTGGCTGCTAATCCGTCTAAGGAAGAAATTTCTAATGGAACTCTTGTTGATATTGCTGAAAGTTTGGGATCTCTAGATTCAAATTTTAAAATTCCACCAAGCATGGAGGCGGTTAAGGCAATTGAGACCCATTCTATTCCAGCTGGTCTAAAATCTAATCCTCCAACTAATTCTCCTAAATTGATGGAGAATTCAAATTTTCAAGTTCCTAACTTGATGGAGGCTGTTATGGAGAAGGGTATGGAAGAGCAAGTCACGGTTTTAATTCCTTCTAAAGCTGATAATATTTCAGGATTACTTGCTGTTAACGATTTAATTAAAGATGGCTGTTCCATTTCGCCATCCTCTACAACCAGTTTAAAATTCAATAAAACTATTTTATTCAAAGGGAATAAGAGTACTCTGATTTCCGGTTCTAAACCCAAGCTATTCAAAGAGCTTCAAGGGCTAGGACCTATGAAGGATCAAAATAGAAGAAGGATTGTTGATCACAAGATGAAGAACGGGTCGATGGGTTCTTCACAAAAGCTTTCAATATGATACCCGATTTTAAAGCAGTTAGAGACATGAAGACGGGAATTCCTTTCGGAGAATTTTCCTTTTATTATGCTTGGTTTTACAAATGTTTTTTTTTTTTGAAAAGACTTATAAAATACCTATTATTTGTTTTAATAGATATTTTGAGAATGTCTTATCTATTTTGTAACTTTCCTTTGGGTTTTTTTTATAGCTTGTTTTTTCTCTTAGCTTTTTTGTTTTTTAAACCTACTATTTTTGTTTATGGAATCGTTACTTGATTCTATTCTTTAACCGGATGGGAACTCTGGGATACTAATCAACCTTCGGGTTGTTTTATTTATTTGGTATCCCCTGCATCTCAACGGTTTCAAAATAGGAAACAGTGGGTTTCATATCAAACTATTAGGTTTAATGATAACAAAATTGATTTTAATAAGGATCCTTTTCTTCAAGGATCATTTAGTTTGTATTAGGTTGTTTTATTTCCTTTTTAATGCATCTTTGAATCTTCTAAAAAAATAATAATAAGTTTTTTTGTAAAAAGAATAATTTGTATGAGTTAGAAGCTTTAGAAATTAAAATCAGGACCATTCAAACTTCGGTTTCAGCAAGTTTATAGTCAAATTAAGCATCTCGAGGAGACGAACCCAACAACACCAAATTCGATCCAATATGAGCCCAAATGAGTCCAAATCAAATGACCTTATCATAATTGTTGTATCCAATTATTGTTGATCGTTGTATTTTCCTCTTCATCAATAATGAAGAAAAAATGATTTTTGTATTACTTGTTACATAGTGAATTTTGCAACAAGGCTAGGCCACGTAGTTTTTTTCTTTCCGAATTTTCCATGTAAATAATTATTTGGTTTTATCTTTTTTACATGTTCGTGCTAAATTTTTGTTCATTGCAAAGACGTGAAATTCAATCTCTATCGGCTCAATTTTTTTAAAATACAACTGTTTGACGTCGTCTATGGGAACCAATCCCATATTATAAGCACACCTAAATCCATTTGAATGGTCAACAATTGTAGCATCACAACAAAGGAGCCTCTCACTCTAACACCCATAAATTCATAATCCAATCTATGAATCAGAGATGTCAAACATTTACCTCTTTTATCCTGGTGGGTGAAGCATTACTACAGAAGGGACTTCATGACCTTTTCCTAGAAAATTGCAACAAAAAAATAGTGGAATCTCATAATAAGAACCTTCAACTTTTATAAGGAGCCTGACAACTAGCACAACAAAAAGAGATTCATCTCCCTCAAGTTCTACTACTAACAGGGGATATCTAACATGAACATCTTTAAGTAGTGCCCTCTCTCCCTCAGGCAAGAATTCATCCCCTGTCACATCAAGGTATTGATCTCGTTGACACAGAGAGTTTTTTTTCGATACCTCTCACATAGAAAGACTAACTTGCGCTCCTTCAATTGTTATTAAGGGCTTGGTCCAACTTCGTATTGATGAAATCCCACACAACGCTTCACGAAATGAACAACGACGACTAGTCCGAGAAGAGTTCTCTTTAAGAGGTCGAAGAAAATTCTTTCATCGTTAGGACTTTCAAAAACCATCTCCCCTAAATATAACCATCCTTAAAAATCTCATTCTTGTAGGTTTCAAATTACCTAGTGTATACTCTTATGATGGGTCGTCCGACCCTTACGAGTATATCAATCATTGTAGAACCATTATGTATATCCAACGAGCCTTGTATGCGCTCCTCTACCAAATATTTTCTATTACCCTCAAAGGGCAAGCTCGCACATGTTTCTATTCACTTTCAACAGGGACTATCATGTTCATCAAGTTAGTCAAACTATTTGTCGAATAATTGATTATAAATCAAAGAATTATTAAGGACTCTTCCCAACTCTATGGGATCCTCCAAAACGAAGGAGAGTCACTCAAAGTATATTTTCAAAGAATTTCCACCTAGACTCGACAAATTTCAGGGGTAAATCTCAAGTTTCTAATAAGAGTTTTCCTCGGAGGGCTTCGTCCTTGCCCCTTTCACTTGACACTTAAGTGAGATATAATTCATTTATATGCTGACATAATTCATCGTGTGGATGTACAGTTCATAGCAAATGAGGCCATCACTGCTAATCAAAAGCATT